GTACTTACAGAGTTTGTGAGCAAATTGAAAACTTCGTCCAGTTGCACGGACCCTTTCCCACCTCGGTTTTTTAAAGAGGTCTGGGGTATTATTGGAACATCAGTCACAAAAATTATCAATAGCAGTCTTCTTTCTGGTATTGTTCCCTCCTTTTGTAAAAGAGCTGTTGTCGAACCATTAGTTAAAAAACCAAGTCTTGATCCAACAGTTCTATCAAGCTATCGGCCCATTTCTAAACTTCCGTTTGTGTCCAAAATTTTAGAAAAATGCGTTATTGCACAGCTGCAACCTTTTCTGGAGGCCAATGGGATTTTAGATACTTTTCAGTCAGGTTATAAAGCTTTTCACAGCACTGAGTCTGCACTTTTAAAGGTTTTTAATGACTTGTTCTTAATGGCAGACTCTGGTAATTCTTCCATTTTAGTGCTTTTAGACCTGACTGCTGCCTTTGACACAGTGGACCATGCGATTCTTTTAAATAGACTTGAACACTGTGTGGGTGTCGGGGGGACCGCCCTTACCTGGTTTGCTTCTTACCTGTCGGGGCGGTCCTTCATTGTTAGGCTGGGGGATTCCACCTCATCTTCTGCCCCCCTCCACTGTGGAGTCCCTCAGGGATCAATTCTGGGCCCCATCCTCTTTTCTCTTTATCTCCTGCCACTCAGTGAGATTTTTAAAAAGCATGGCCTTTTTTATCATTTTTATGCGGATGATTGTCAGATCTATTTTCCCATCGCAAAAAATGCTTATGGCCCCCTGACACCCCTACTCGACTGTCTATGTGACGTCAAGGCTTGGTTGGCCCAAAACTTTCTTAAAATGAATGATAAAAAAACAGAAGTGATTCTCTTTGGGGCCAACCAGGTGGATGTGGGACCGCTGAGTGAACATGTGCGTCCCACAGTCACCAACCTTGGCGTCACTATAGACAGTGATTTTAAATTTGACAAGCAGGTCAACAGTGTTTTAAAATCGAGTTTTTATCATCTGCGGCTTTTATCCAAGGTTAAAACTTTTTTATCTTTTAACCTTTTTGAAAAAGTTATGCACGCTTTTATTTCTTCACGTCTGGACTACTGTAACGCACTCTACTCCGGTATTTCACACAAGGCACTTCACCGGCTACAGTTAGTCCAGAACTTTGCGGCACGGCTTTTAACAGGAACCAAAAAGCGCGACCACATCACTCCCGTCCTTGCGTCCTTGCACTGGCTTCCTGTTCATTTTAGAATTGATTTTAAGATTTTATTGTTTGTTTTTAAAGCTCTGAATGGACTGGCCCCTCCTTACATCTCGGACCTCATCCAGATTTACCACCCGCCCCGCGCACTGAGGTCCGAGAGCCAGCTCCAGCTCGTGGTGCCTAAGACGAGACTTAAAACCCGGGGGGACAGGGCCTTCTCTGTGGCTGGACCAAAGCTCTGGAACGCCCTGCCCCCCCACGTCAAAACAGCTCCCTCGTTGGAATGTTTTAAGTCACGTCTTAAGACCCACTTTTATTCTCTGGCTTTTAACACCGCGTGAGTCGTGTGGTCCTCTGTGTTTTTATTTTATTTTATTTATTTATGTATTTTCTTATATAAATGTGTGTATTTATTTATTTGTTGCAATTTTGCATGTTGTGCAGCACTTTGGAAACTGCGTGTTTATGAAATGTGCTATATAAATAAAGTGGATTGGATTGGATTGGATTGAAACAAATCGCGGTCAAAAAGACTCGAGAGGACTCGAAAGTCAAACCGTAGGACTTGGGACTGACTTGAGATTTGTTGGCCTTTGACTTGGACTCGACTCGGGACTTGCCTGTCTTGACTCGTGACTTGACTCGGGACTTGAGGGCAATGAATTGAGACTGACTTGTGACTTGCTAAACAATGACTTTGTCCCACCTCTGCCAATACCCCTTCTTTCTAAACCGATTTGAGTATTTTAATTTGAGTACTTGCCAATACCGATACGAGAGCTGCGTTGTGTTGTTCCTGGGAATTCCTAAAGCTAAAGCCTAGCGTACATCGGACTGGCAACTGATTATATCCGTCGCATATGAGTTTCTGCCCCGCACACATCGACAATCTGACGAAAACGGGCAACTCCCAGTATCAGACCAGTCTGGGGAATAACAGCGCGTACATCGACAGCAACTGGCCTCAACTACAGTGTGTTTTCTGACATAAACTGTTGCGGGCGCAATACACGCAATACACACACGTTGTCGGAGCGGTGCATGGAGCGAGCACATCGGGTCATATCTCCGAAACTGAGGACAAATAGTTGCCGAAAAGTAGAACACGGGCAACTGACTGAATCCGGAGATCGACTGTTTATCTCCAGTTGTAAGAGCGCTCACATCGACGGATTTCGGCAACTGATCATCTCCATCATCTCCTCTCAGTCGCCAAAAGCCGCCTTGCAACTAGTTGTCTCCAGTTTCTCTGTCGATGTACGCTAGGCTTAATACAACTGAACAGTGCTATACTCCTGGTGGTGGTAAGATTTCAGATATTTATAATAATAATAATAATAATATTAATTCTGGTGTCATTTGTGATTGTTTTGGACCCACATCGTGATTTACTTTAAAAACTGCCAAATGTTTGAGATCCACTAGCCGCTAAGCTAGTCTTTGGGAGATCACCATGGCAACCAAGCCCCGGCGATCCAAGATGGCGCCCTATTCAAATGAATGGCTTGTGCTCAGTAGCGCATGGGTGTGGCTCTCATGCACGCACACAGAGGGGCTCGGCCGTGCTCTGACCAATCAGAGCTGCTCATCGGAGCAGCGAAGAGCGGAGCCAGAGCGAGAAGGCAGGGAGCAGAGTTTGTGGCAGTAAAGGATTTAAGAAGAAAAAAAGTTCAGGATGACAAGGAACACTAAAAACCCCACAAAATCCGATCTTTAAGAAAGCTGTAGGTTCTCTGTCAGGTTCTCTGTCAGGTTCTCTGTCAGGTTCTCTGTGAGGTTCTCTGTCAGGTTCTCTGTCAGCTGAGGTCGAGCTGTTTTAGTTTACATTGAGTTCTATGGGACTTTTTTCTGGGTAGCCCTCGTGAATTTAGTCTGCAGTACCACAGCGCCCCCTGTGGCCATAGATGGGACAGCTGTAAGCTAGTAATACACTATCCAGGTATTATTATAGATCCATGATGGCAACAGGTGCTGCACAGCTGTCTGCTGTAATCACACTGATGTGATTTAAAAATGTGGGTATCGTTTGCCGTAATCGGGTCCTATGGTACAAGTACAAGCCTATGGTATCGATCCCTGTTTATTTCCTCAAATGTAATCATTTTTTGCAGTTTGGTCAGTAATAAACCACTGCAGCGAGTCACTGAGAGACAACACTTTTGTTTTTCGTGGACGTAAAATAATTAACACAGAAAATAATGATGTTTATGTGAGAGAAGTGTTCATGTCTAATGAATATGGGTCAGAACAAGGTCCAGGACTCTGGAAAATATATTTAAACCGAACAAAACAGAACTGAAACAACCAAAAAGATGTTATTAAAATGTGTGATATGACTGTTTGCTGCTGTTTCTTCTCTTCCTGTGGATTGTAAACGCTGCTGATAGAGAAAAGAGTCTCTTAATCCTAATCTTAATCTTAATTATTAACATTTACAGACATTGGTCTCTGATCCTTATGGACCGATGTTTCTCTGTGTTTGTTATCATTGCTTTTCCTGTGTTTTAACTGATTCTCTGATCTGTTGTTAAAGAATCGACAGCTTTGTAAAGAACTTTGAGATTACTACTGCTACAGTAATGATACAAGAATTTTATTAAATTGAATTAAGATTCAGTAAGAATGAGGAGCACACGGATAAATGAACAGTAACTCTATTAAAATACTCTACTGAAATAAAATCTGTTTAAAATCTAACTTTAGCAGAATGAAGCAGCAAGTCTAAAATCTGTAACTATATCCATAAAGTACTGTATGTAGTGCAGTAAATGCAGCATGTCTCTGTCTGAGCCCGAGCCCGAGCCCGAGCCCGAGCCAGAGTCCGAGCCCGAGCCCGAGCCTGAGCCTGAGTCTGAGTCTGAGCCTGAGCCTGAGCCTGAGTCTGAGCCTGAGCCTGAGCCTGAGCCTGAGTCTGAGCCTGAGTCTGAGCCTGAGTCTGAGCCTGAGCCTGAGTCTGAGCCTGAGTCTGAGTCTGAGCCTGAGCCTGAGCCTGAGTCTGAGCCTGAGCCTGAGCCTGAGCCTGAGCCTGAGTCTGAGCCTGAGTCTGAGCCTGAGTCTGAGCCTGAGTCTGAGCCTGAGCCTGAGTCTGAGCCTGAGCCTGAGTCTGAGCCTGAGCCTGAGCCTGAGTCTGAGCCTGAGCCTGAGCCTGAGCCTGAGTCTGAGCCTGAGCCTGAGCCTGAGCCTGAGCCTGAGTCTGAGCCTGAGTCTGAGCCTGAGTCTGAGCCTGAGCCTGAGTCTGAGCCTGAGCCTGAGCCTGAGTCTGAGTCTGAGCCGACCAAGCCCCAGTGATCCAAGATAGATGATCCTATTCAAACCATAGACTGTATATATTAACGGACGTAGTCACGCCTATCTCCGGCGTTCAACTAATGGGCCAAAAATTGGGCTGATTCAAAATGGCCGCGGGGGCTGTAAAATGTGAAAAAACGCATCTGCGCATGCGTCAGCTGCACGGGCCTCATTCATTTAAATGAGAGACTTCAAAAATTCACAGCGACTAAACTAGACTGGTCCAGAACACTCCCTCAGCATCGACACATGAGCCACTTTTGGACCATCCTGTAAAGACGTTTTCGAGAGATCTGCCGATGCTATATGTTAGCATTGGCTAATTCTTATTCCGGGTCCACCCCCATCGGCCCGGGTCAGCGCACATCATTTTGGCCACTTTTGAGCTGGGACCCGCCCCCACTGGTTCAAACCAATGGCTTGTGCTCAGCAGCTCATGGGACCTACACGGGGACTGAAGAATCAGTGGAACTCGCCCATATTTGGGCATCGTCTGGTCCGCTAGGTTCTGTGCAGTGGACGAGCTCCCATGATGCTTTGCACCAAATACGCTGCTAACTCCTCCTCTGCTGCTAACTCCACCTCTGCTGCTAACTCCACCTCTGCTGCTAACTCCTCCTCTGCTGCTAACTCCACCTCTGCTGCTAACTCCACCTCTGCTGCTAACTCCACCTCTGCTGCTAACTCCACCTCAGCTGCTAACTCCACCTCAGCTGCTAACTCCACCTCCGCTGCCTCCTCCTCTGCTGCTAACTCCACCTCCGCTGCTAACTCCACTCTGCTCTGCTGCTAACTCCACCTCGCTGCTAACTCCACCTCTGCTGCTAACTCCACCTCTGCTGCTAACTCCACCTCTGCTGCTAACTCCACCTCAGCTGCTAACTCCACCTCAGCTGCTAACTCCACCTCCGCTGCTAACTCCTCCTCTGCTGCTAACTCCACCTCTGCTGCTAACTCCTCCTCTGCTGCTAACTCCACTCTGCTGCTAACTCCTCCTCTGCTGCTAACTCCTCCTCTGCTGCTAACTCCTCCTGCTGCTAACTCCTAACTCCACCCACCTCTGCTGCTAACTCCACCTCTGCTGCTAACTCCACCTCTGCTGCTAACTCCACCTCTGCTGCTAACTCCTCCTCTGCTGCTAACTCCACCTCTGCTGCTAACTCCTCCTCTGCTGCTAACTCCTCCTCTGCTGCTAACTCCACCTCTGCTGCTAACTCCACCTCTGCTGCTAACTCCACCTCTGCTGCTAACTCCACCTCTGCTGCTAACTCCACCTCTGCTGCTAACTCCACCTCTGCTGCTAACTCCACCTCTGCTGCTAACTCCACCTCTGCTGCTAACTCCTCCTCTGCTGCTAACTCCTCCTCTGCTGCTAACTCCACCTCTGCTGCTAACTCCACCTCTGCTGCTAACTCCACCCTCGTCACCCCTGCTGCTAACTCCACTCTGCTCTAACTCCACCTCTGCTGCTAACTCCACCTCTGCTGCTGCTGCTAACTCCACCTCTGCTGCTAACTCCACCTCTGCTGCTAACTCCACCTCTGCTGCTAACTCCTCCTCAGCTGCTAACTCCTCCTCTGCTGCTAACTCCTCCTCAGCTGCTAACTCCTCCTCTGCTGCTAACTCCTCCTCAGCTGCTAACTCCACCTCCGCTGCTAACTCCACCTCTGCTGCTAACTCCACCTCTGCTGCTAACTCCACCTCTGCTGCTAACTCCACCTCTGCTGCTAACTCCACCTCTGCTGCTAACTCCACCTCTGCTGCTAACTCCTCCTCTGCTGCTAACTCCACCTCTGCTGCTAACTCCACCTCCGCTGCTAACTCCACCTCTGCTGCTAACTCCACCTCTGCTGCTAACTCCACCTCTGCTGCTAACTCCACCTCTGCTGCTAACTCCTCCTCAGCTGCTAACTCCTCCTCTGCTGCTAACTCCACCTCAGCTGCTAACTCCTCCTCAGCTGCTAACTCCACCTCAGCTGCTAACTCCTCCTCAGCTGCTAACTCCTCCTCTGCTGCTAACTCCTCCTCTGCTGCTAACTCCTTCTCAGCTGCTAACTCCACCTCTGCTGCTAACTCCTCCTCTGCTGCTAACTCCACCTCTGCTGCTAACTCCACCTCTGCTGCTAACTCCTCCTCAGCTGCTA